GGTCTCGTAGAGGGCTGGCTATTAGAAATTACAGTTACAATGTGGCAAATAATTCGAGTTAAAGTAAGTTTTATTTCGATTTGTACAGTTTTCCGCGGAAGGTCTACGAAGAAAATCGTAGTTTCACAGAATCCGAGTGTACCTGGTACCTTAAACTGATATCGCAGCGTGTACGACGTGATAATTATCAATTAAACCCTAGAATTTTAATAAACTTGAAAAGTTTCCTGAAAAATCGATATGATTTATAATAAAAATACAAAGATCTAATTATTGTCATCAAAGATTTCCCACCGAGCGGCGGTTCTATTCGCTGTGAATTACGAACTGACAGTATCCTGGTAACAAAACTTTCCTGCTGTAGTGTTTTAACAGCGTACGATAGATTTTCATGCAAAGGAATTGGCAACGCAAAGTTGCGCCATATCCGGAAAAAAGTCGCGACATTGACCGTACGTATAAACCTTGTTCGACGAAAATTCATTGAGATTCGACGTTTTGGCAAAATGTTTGCCGGCGATATGAGGCAAAACGGGCAAACGTTGAAACGAACTCGAACGTTCGAATGGTCGGAAAGCGGAAAAACCTGCGTTTCAAGTAGCGAGCGGAACGAGGACGCGCACGTTGACTGCAGTTTCGCAACTGTCGTTACAAAGCGTATCGATGCAAATGAAACGACACGACGTTAGAAACGTGGAGCGTAGGGTAAGGAGCGTAGCAGGGCAGAGTAAATTGTGTGCCTGTGCCAGATGTAAAACGGTTGATTGCCTTGCAAACGTTGCGTTCCCGACGACGATTCTACACAGAGCAGGTAAATGGTAACAGCGTGGGAGAGTTGTAGCCGAGTGCCTATCGCTGCCAATGAGAGACAATCGGATTTAGGTTCGGGGCGATAAAGAACGCGCGATAGATTGGAACGCAGTGCTAACTGTTACGAGCTAGTTAGTCCGCGGTGTTGGGACGCGTTTGACGATCGTAAAAGTATCGATACGCTTTGTCGTTTGTTCGTAAAAAGGGAAATTGCTTCCTTAATCGATGCGACAACTTTCGTTGTTTGTACCGTTGTTTCGTACGCTGCCTTTAATCCTTTTATCGCGACATGTTTCAAGTTGTTCCTACAGTTGTTTCATTCCGGCTATTCCAAGTTACCGATGTACAGGGTGTACATAAAACGAAACGATTTTTCCATATCGTTTTTCGACTAGTTTTTCGCAACTCGAATATTTATACATTTTTGCATTTAACATTGTTACGATAATTAAATATTACAGGACTCGTTAAGGGAAGAAAATTCTTGTCACAAGACAGGAGAAATATTTACAAAATTATCACAATTAAATTATTTACAAATTTTCGACCGTCTCTGTCGAATCGAAAAATATAGAGAAATTTTATGGGTCTTTAAGCTATTTAGGTTTCAGCTTGCTATTTGAAAAAAGATTTATGCACCGATACAATAATTGTTTATAAATAGTTCAATTCTGTGATGATAGTTCTAGACACAACAATGTACTAATGACACGTGTTAGAAGATCAAAGTCATTAACGATGATCGATAATCGTGTTTCCTTTAATCGCTTAAAGATTACTGCATAGAAATAATTTGCTGTTTATATACAGGGTGTAAATAAAAATTGTTTTTTAATCTTTCTTTTTTCGAAAATTCAAAGTGGATTTTCTCGAAAACAAAGCCTCGAACGAAAAATTGTTATTCTATATTTTCGACTTCTTTTTTCGCGTACAATCATCCCCTTTCCGCTTGTACCGCCAGTTACCAACCACCCTGTATATAAATTTCTTTTCTATCGTTGCAAGGTTTCTATTGGAAACCGAATGCCATAGCGAAAGAGGAAAATTTGAGAATATTGTTTGATCCGATTGCTGGCGGATTGCTTGAACGATAGCGACTGAGATACTTTTGATATCACAGTTCGTTGTAGGCGAAGAGATCTATCGTTTTCGAAAGAGCTTGTCTTCAGGGTTCGAGCTTTCGCGAAATCCAAACGACCGGAAATACGATGTTGCCCTGAAAACGCGACCACTCGTTTAAAAACGACGCAGAAAGAAAAAGAGCATTGGCGGCCGGCGAAAAAAGAGGCAAAATGTTGGAAATGAATATTACATAAACCTGGGATCCAATTTTCTGCTCTCAACGGAAGCTTACGTCACCGCGAGGCATCCAATAAAAAATGAACGACGCTCGGTTGAAAACGAAAAACCTGGCCAAAAGCTATCTGCGTGTAACTCGCCATTGACGTTCCAACAAAAGCAAAAATATCATCGTGACTTTTTAACGCGATTACAGCTCGCAGGTACGCCGAAGGCGTCTCGCTTCCAACAACTTTCCAAAATATCTCGCTCGCCGGCCAAATTACGCGTCTCACACGGCGCACAGTGACGAAATGCTTGATCGCGGTTCAAACGTAATTGTCAGCACTGACAAACTACGTGGTAGAACGTGTCGCGTTGTTTGTACGATTCTCCCTTCCATTTCCCACTACGATTTTTTTTCCTTAATTTTTGACACACCTTGGAAAAATATTATTTACGGTATTTCTCACGCGCGCGATATATTTTTCAAATATTGTTGCACCTGTACGATAACGCGTTATGCAAACCTCAAACTGCTACACATCATCGTCTCTCTACCGATTGGAAAAACGTCTGTACTTTAGAAACGAAAATTGACAAAACCAATTCGATTTCAAAAGTAATTTGAAAATTCACGAATTGAGTTACGACATTCCAATCGATCTTCGCGAACGTAGCTATTGTACAGTTTATTTTCAGCGTTTCAACGCTAAGGGAATTCGACTAATGAAATTAGCGTTGTCCACGAGATCGACGCGAATGCAGTTAAAACGTCATCGACTGAGCAAAGACACCTCGTCTTTGACATTCTACAAAAATCGTTGCTCTAGTTGCGACCAGTGGCTCTCTTCTGGCCGCTGGAAAATCGCCTCTGCAGTTGGCTTTCCAAAAAATATCGATTTACAACGTACCGACTGATAGACGTGCGCGTAGGAAAAAGCGATAAAACCGATCCGGATAGAAATATTTTCTCTATTCGAGCTGGCTCGTTGCAGACGACCGAGTTCGAATTTGAACACGGCAACCCCTTTTTGTATTTGTTCCTTGAAAAGCGCCAACGAGATCACCGATGTGTGACTAAATACCTCGCACGAAAATCCAAAAAGGGATTGGTATAATAGCGCGATGAACAAGGATGATCTGAATTCACAGCGTTCTCGTTACTCTCGTTGTGGTCTATGCAGGTGGTTTAGTCGGAAATTCGTCGAGTTTCCAAGATGATTCGGTTTGGCGCATAGGCTTTCAATTTTCTAGCTGTCTGTATTTTTTTTTTTTTTTTTTTTTTTTT